CACAAATTATACATAGATGAGTCCATTTTGTTCTGGGGGTCCTTGAGGATGGTTCTGAATTGGACTGGGATCCGGTACACCAAAAAGTTGACTGATGTAGAGTATCTCACGTAAATACAGTCAGTTATGGATTAAGTGAACGTCAACAGGTGGGTGAAAACTGAACGTGTGTCAGTGTTACATGCATGCCTTCCGTCTTAAAGGGACAGCATTCCTAATTAAGTACCTATCCGTGTCATCAATGTTAACCAACAAAAGATGTTAAATATTTTAAGTAAACCTACTGTATCTGAAAAATGGGTTTAATTTGTATCTCTTTCGTATTTTTCTTATTGTCTTATTCTGCTTCTTTTTCAAAAATTATAAATTATATATATATATATATATTATATATGAATGTATATATATATGAATGTATATATATATATATATATACACCTTGCTATGTGTACTGCGTTAGGCTAACCGAGACTTGTCATTTGCACTTATATATTGTTGCTCTTTTGTTAGTTTTGACTGCTTTTATTGTCCTCATTTGTAAGTCGCTTTGGATAAAAGCGTCTGCTAAATGACTAAATAAATAACATTTGTTTAATTTTGATGTAAATCTTGGCATTCCATCTTAGATTAACCAGTTTGAGTGGAAGGTTCCACTAAACTATTTGTACCACAATCACTGTTGTCATATGTTGCATATAGTCAGCATTAAATCAGTTGTCCCCGTTACTTATTTACTTTATTTACATGTACCTGATCTTATTGTGCAAGTGTAATTTTGTTTTGTTTCCTAAAAAAAACAAACGTTGTTTTAAAAATTATTTTCTTTTGGCAGTAAAAAAAAAGATATCAATCAATAAGAACAATAATAAAAATAATTAAATGTATTTATGATGTATGCAATAGAAAGTTACCTAGAACCTAGAGTTTTATATTCAAAATACAGTATCCTAATATAATTTCCCAGTGACGTGTTTTAGATGTTCGAGCTGTAAATACTATTGCAATAACATTTGCAAGGCGAGAGAGATGTGAGAAACATTCACATACCTCCAGCTCTCCATTCTCGGCTGCGTCATGAAGAGGCGTACCACCCCAGCTGTCGGTCACGATCTCCCCGCCGTGCAGGAGCAGCCAGCTGAGAACCTTGGCATGGCCGCGGCTGGCGGCAAAGTGCATGGCAGTGGCCCCATCATTGTCTCTGTCAGACAGGCTGATGTCTGTGAAACTCATCTATAGAAGACAGAAAGTTTGATCAAGAACCTACAGAAATGATGTTAAACAATGGTGCAAAATACTGCTCATCATAGTAGCTCAAATAGCACACCTGGCTGAAATGATGCACCAAAACAAATAGTTTTGTGCAATGTCAAGTAATTAAACAGAACGGTACTTAAGTACTAAAACTGCCCAAAATGTAATCGTTACAAAAAAAATGTTCCAACATTATTCCTGCCAGAAGAGATCCGTAAACAAAACCCAGTCACCAAAGTTTTGTCTGGTACTCAAAATCGGTTTACAGCAAATCTTGTCTGGTAAAATCCTTACTATATACGGTGAATAACTGTAATAGATCTAACCTTACATTTAATGTAATTTTACAGTAACATACTATTAAATTTGAAATATGAAAAAGAACAAGTCATCATATAATTTACAGTGAAAAACCATAAATTGACATTCCCAGAATTCCCTGCATGGCACTTCACATTCGATGTTTTTTGCTGAAATAGCTTGTTTTCGTTTTTTTCTTATTCGTTATGTTCGTTAGGGTTATATGTTATATCGGTAACACTTTAGAATAGGGAACATTTATTCACTATCAACTACGACTTTTCCCTCGATTAATAACTAACAGTTAGTAAGGTAGTTGTTAAGTTTAGGTATTAGGTAGGATTAGGGATGTAGAATAAGGTCATGTATAATAAGGCATTAATATGTGCTTAATTAGTATTAATAAATGGCTAATATTCTAGTAATATGCATGCTAATAAGTAACTAGTTAAGAGACCCTAAAATAAAGTGTTACCGTTATATATCTAATGTTGTTAATTAATGCTAATTGCATTACTTTAGTGTCATGTGTGTTACCATAATGGTGTTTAGTATTTGTGCGAATGACACTGTGTGCACCTTCTGTATATTCATATTTACTTCCTCAGCTTGTGGAAAAGCTGCTTCTGATGAACTTTGACCCGTCACGTGACTTTCTCATCATTCTCACCTGTTTTTGGTTGTTGTCAGTGTATTACAAAGGTACAAAACAGATATTAGTATATTAACATTATGATCAGTTAATGAAATGTGTTTTTAATGTAAATTAAGTTAAATCTGTAAAACCTAAAATGGCAAAGTTCTGGTAACCATAGCTGCTGTTTTTTTCCCTGTACATTTCACAGATTTTTTTTTTTTAATCTTTTTTTATTACAGTGTTGGTTAAACAAAAATAGCAAGCATTGCAAGAGCAAGGAAAATAATAATATAAAATCTAAAAACATAATAAAAATGGCAAATAAATGATATAAATGAATAAATTTCATAAATGACTAATGAGTACAAATGATTATAAAACAAACTTAAGAACAAGGAGAAAATAAAAAAGCACAAATGTCTGGTTGCTCTCTTGAATACACACATACACACACACACACACACACACACATAGGTTGCTACTCAAACAAATCCTTAGATTTTTCAACATTAACAAAACAAGATTCTAATTTTTTTTTATTTGAAATGCTCACAAATTTGGATGCTTTTCTGTAGCATTTGGTTGTTGCTGCTGCAGAACTTGTATATGTGGTATTTATGTTCCATTCCTGTGAAAGTGAAAATTATTTTCTGTGATAATCAACGTTGTGTTGATAAAGCACAATCTTGCGTTAAACCTGGGAACATTCCATGGCAAAATATTTGAAATCGGATGCTTTAAATCATACATGAAACATTATGTTTGCAGTACTGTACTCATCCATTAAGAACAACTGTTTTTGGCTCACCAGCCAGACAATGACAGTGTTGTGTCCCATCTGGGCAGCAGCATGCAACGGTGTCATCCCATCATTGGCTCTGATACTTGGCTCCGCCCCGCAGTCCTTCACTAGGTACTGGACGACTTCCAGGTGGCCCTCCTGACATGCAAGGTATAGTGGTGTGGCACCGTTCTTAGTTTGGAAATTGACAACTCTAAAACACAAGCAAAAACAAGGAAATTATACATTTTTTAAAAAAGGGTGAATAGAAATATAAAAATATTTAGTGTTGTTTCTAAATTATACCTCTATCTTTACATATCTTTTTTTTTTTTTTTTGCAACATGAGCAATAACCTGACCCAAAATTACTACACAGAACTCTGGAGTACCTTTAATTGCAGCATTACTGCATTAGTTTAAACTAATACGAAATTATCATTTCCAAAGCTGACTCTACAGGCCAGCAGACTGACAGCAGAAAGCAGCTAACTAGCTGTACATCACCCATGATAATATTTCATATTATCTCACCACCATGACACTAGTGTGTTGTGAGTGTTGAGCCAATGGTTGCTAAGCTGTTCTAGGTATAGTTGCTGTGCGGTTGCATGGGTGTTCTGGGTGGTTTCTAGGTGGCTGATTTCTATCTGAAGTCAAAAGAAGCCACCCTCAGATCTCTGTGATATTCTGGTCTCTAGATATGACTCTCTTTCAGGGTAAATCTATATAGTCCAAGGGTGTGAAACAGCTCCAAGTAGAATGTCACGTATTGTCATCTAGAAATCACAGTAATTATGACATGGCGTCATGAACTCAGGAGATTAAGAAAACTATATCAAAATAAGAGTCCTGGATGAACCAAAACTGTGATCATAGTATCAAAAGAGTGGCAAAAAAAACTACTCAGAAAAGCTGAGAAAAGAGCTTTCAGCAAACGATCCAGCGTCAGTATGGACTGGTCTGAGGAACATCACCATGTACAAGACACCACCCCCACAGTTTGCGGAGAATCAACAACTGGCTGACGATCTGAATGTGTTTTACTGCAGATTTGAAAAGGATAGTCTACCACCCCCCATCTGCTCTGATCTGCACTTCACACATTCACCTACCACCCCTGCAACCCCCCTCCCTCCCTCCCCCACCATTCAACCTGTGCTTAAGGTCTGTGTAGAGGATGTGAACCGGGTCTTCAGGAAGCAGAAGACTAAGAAAACTTCACATACTTGGTAATAAAGCTCTTCTGATTCTGATTCTGATTCTGATCATCTGCATAGTAACTTAGAAGATAACAAGCTGCATGATTTTATGTGTTATTTGTGTCCACAGCATAAAAGTTAGGGGTTTTGCTCAAACTGTGCGGCTTGTTGAGGAGATTTGTGCCATTTACCTTCCAACTCTGTTTGGACTTTTGATTTTCCAATGGCAGATAATAAAATATGCAAACATGTATACGTACATAGAGGGAGAGGCCCAAACCATATCTACAGCCCAGAATATCAGAGACTAAGAGAGGACTTTTGACTATAGGCAACCACAAAGATCCAAGCATTGTGAAAGACAGTTTTGCATAGGCAAGTCCCATCAGAAAATAAAAAAATGTAATTTTATTGTTTGTGTTTAAAGTGTGCAACAAATCTGACACATGTGTACACTTTAAGTGCAAACCAAATAAGTAATCTTGGTAACAGTTAGAATAGGGAACACTTATTCACTATTAGTATTAACTATGACTTTTCCCTCAATAAATTCCTAATTTGCTGCTTATTAATAGTTAGTAAGGTAGTTGTTAAGTAGGTATTATGTATGTAGAATAAGGCATTAATATGTGCTTAATTAGTACTAATAAATTGCTAATATTCTAGTAATATGCATGCTAATAAGCAACTAGTTAAGAGACCCTAAAATAAAGTGTTACCATAATCTTTGTATATATCTTCTAGTTCAATCAATATTTAAGGGCAATTCTCCAAATATTTTCACCAAAAAAGACTAGTTAAAAGATTTTCAATCCATACTCCAGATGCATACTCCCCCACCACCACCACCAAATTCTTATCAGTGATCTGATACTTGTTCTGCTCAATTCAACCCAAAACCTTCTAAAATATTACAAAGCATTATTAGACATTGTTGACCCTCTGAGACAAAGTGATAGACCGGTCCAGTGTTTGTTGTTCCCAGGAGAAGCATGCAGCATTCATATGTCTGTCCCAGATCCTTCCTCCAAGTCACAGCAGGAGTTCTAGAAGAGAACAGGAGTCTTCCTATAAATACTATAAAGCTCAGCTTTATTTGGACACAGACTGACAAGGCATCAATGAGACTCTTAAGTGGATCAGCGCTGCTTCACTCGCTGTATTCGCTGGCTCTGTCAGGAAAAAAAACTATATCTTTCTAGAAGAAAAGCAATTGTTTTAATTTTTTTCTTTATGGCTCAGATCCAACTTCACATAGTTTGCTCTCATATCCCCTCATCCCCTGAACCATCTTTATTTTTTAAAGTAATGCAAAGAAATAGTTGCTGTATGTATGTTTCATGTGGCTTCACAAGGCTATGTTCAGAACAGAATACTGCCATACTACTCGTACTATTTCAGCAATATAGTATATATACACTGTGCAATGTATGCAGACTTTCTATATCACCATAACATTTCCAATGTGACATATGAAGCTAAAGTAACATTACTATGTTGTATATATATATATATATATATGTTTTACACAAAATTAGATTCACAGTGCTAGACAGTCTTGCTGATTATAATGTTATATGTGACCCTGGAGCACAAAACCAGTCCTAAGTCACTGGGGTATATTTGCAGCAATAGCCAAAAATACATTGTATGGGTCAAAATTATTGATTTTTCTTTTATGCCAAAAATCATTAGGATATTAAGTAAAGATCATGTTCCATGAAGATATTTTGTAAATTTCCTACTGTAAATATATTAAAACTTAATTTTTGATTAGTAATATGCATTGCTAAGAACTTAATTTGGACAACTTTAAAGGATATTTTCTCAATATTTAGATTTTTTTGCACCCTCAGATTCCAGATTTTCAAATAGTTGTATCTCGACCAAATATTGTCCTATCCTAACAAACCATACATCAATGGAAAGCTTATTTATTCAGCTTTGTGGTCCAGGGTCCACAACATATATTATATGTTCTATAAATTATATATAATGTTCTAGATTTGTCAGATTGCAATGTATTGTGCTCTCTCTCTCTCTCTCTCTCTCTCTCTCTCTCTCTCTCTCACACACACACACACACACACATACATACACAGTCAAATACAAGATTAAAGAGCAGAATTAAAACCTGCCAGTAACCAGGTAAACAGTCTGACTGCGGGAATCATCTATTTCAACAATCAGACAAAACAAGCCGGTCAATTTAATAGCATTGTAAATAAATTCTGCATGCAATGGATATGTTTCACAGTAGATACAGTGGGGAAAATATTTATTTGATCCCCTGCTGATTTGGTAAGTTTGCCCACTTACAAAGAAATGAAGGGTCTGTCATTTTTATGGTAGGTTTATTTTAACGTACAGAGACAGGATACCAACCAAAAAATCCAGAAAAAAACACATTATATAAAGGTTAGAAATTGATTTGCATTTCAGTGAGTGGAATAAGTATTTGATCCCCAAGCAAAACATGACTTCGTACTTGGTGCAGAAACCCTTGTTGGCAAGCACAGAGGTAAGACGTTTTTTGTAGTTGGTCACCAGGTTTGCACACATCTCAGGAGGGATTTTGATCCACTCCTCTTTACAGATCCTCTCTAAATCCTTAAGGTTTCTTGGCTGTCGTTTGGCAATTGAGCAGGGGGACCTTGCGGGCATTGCAGGATTTCAGTCCATTGCGGCGTAGTGTGTTACCATTGTTTTGCTTGGTGACTGTGGTCCCAACTGCCTTAAGATCATTAACAAGCTCCTCCCGTGTAGTTCGGGGCTGATCCCTCATCTTTCTCATGATCATCCTTACCCCATGAGGCCAGATCTTGCACGGAGCTCCAGACCGAGGCCGGTTGATGGTTGTTTTGTATTTCTTCCATTGCCGAATAATCGCACCAACAGTTGTCTCCTTCTCACCAAGCTTCTTGCTGATGGTCTTGTAGCCCATTCAAGCCTTGTACAGATCTACAATCTTGTCTCTGACATCCTTTGACAGCTCTTTGGTCTTGCCCATGGTGGTGGGAGAGGTTGGAATGGAAGATACAGATTGTGTGGACAGGTGTCTTATACACCTAACAATCTGACATTAGGAGTAACTTCTTAAAGTGACAGGACTAATCTGTGTTCCACATGGGCACATAACCAGCCTGTGGGAGCCAGAATTCTTGCTGGTTGGTAGGGGTTTAAATACTTCTTTCACTCACTGAAATGCAAATCAATTTCTAACCTTTATATAATGTTTTTTCTGGATTTTTTTGGTTGATATTCTGTCTCTGTCTGTTAAAATAAACCTACCATAAAAATCACAGACCCTTCATTTCTTTGTAAGTGGGCAAGCTTACAAAATCAGCAGGGGATCAAATAAATATTTTCCCCACTGTAGTTACTGACATTACTGGATGACTGAGATGATGTGCTGTTAATATAAAAAACAAAATCAAAATAGCAAACATGTGACTGTGGTGGAGAGGCTTCCAAAAAAAATAAATAAAGAGATGCTGAATTTTTAAAACAGAAAGAGGAATTAATCAGGGGCTCAGTCATTAGGAAGTGATCAGACATGTGAATCTTTCATGAGTGTAACCCTAACACCCATGTGCTGGGGTGGAGGGGCCAGAGCACCACACACACACACACACACACACACACACCAACAAAGCTACATAATGACCACAAATAAAAAAAACATACACACAGATTAAACTTTAGTTGTTGATATGGCTAAAATATGGACCAACTGAACCTCATTACATTTAGAATTTCATTTATGTTTCACCAATAAAGCCAATGAAGGGTATTGGTGGTGCATCATAATAAACATTATTTTCAAAGTGAACAGCCTAGATTCATGTTGTCCGGAACTCTACGGAAACAGTGTTTGTAATGACATCACAACACTATTGTATGTTCACAAAGGTCCCTGACCTGATACAGCCTTATTTGCGGCACAGCTGTCCTTCCTGTATGAATAATTTAGGCTCGAGTGAAAAGGTAACAGAAGCAGCTGTCAGAAGATG